CTCTCTCGCCATGAACAATAAGACTATCAGGAAATCAGAATCTGGAATGAGTATAAGACAATTTCATAAGACTCACCACATAGATGAAAGTGAAAATCGGGATCAGGTCCCAAGACAGGAGATCTGGTAGAACCAGACAAGGCTTCACTGAACGATACCATAGGAGAACAGCAAATCAGAAGCTCGAGAAAAGAGAAAAAAGGATCGAACATGGATATGCTGAAGAGCATGAAGCAAGATTCTGCTAAATAGCATAACAGAACCGAATTACATAAGAAATCGACAAGTAATCAATCGATAACCTGTAAGTTGTGCCAGATAGGCGAAATATAGCAAAATCAATAAAAACAGAGAAAGTAGAGAAGAGTAAAAACTACAAAGCATGGTACAAATTAAACTTCTTATACCATGTTTGAGGAAAAAGACCAGGAAAAGTCTTTCTGAGGGCTTTTCCTCGAGTGTTGAGAGGTAGCTCAGGACAGATTCATTGTGAGCGAACTTATTAGAAAAATTGAAAAAAAACTTTTCGAAAAAAACTTCTTTTCTTCAATCGATTCCGGTCCTGAACATATCACGACGGAGCACGTGGATTGAGATTTCATCTCGAGTTATAGTGTTTTCAATAGATCTTATATTGAGCTTGAACGTTTTTGAAGCAATTCCACCCATCAAACTAACAAATGAGGTTCATATTCGAGTTTAAAATGAAATTCTGATCCGAAATAACCCAAAAAACAACCGATTTCATGAATTTTGAGCCAAGTTACATCGTTTTCCCGAAAGAGAACGACCGGGTCATTTTTTTTTTCACGTAAAAATTATTTTCACGTGGCGCGTTCCCGCGGGGGTATATAAGCCGTGGAGCAGCCGAATCACTTCAGTTGGCGTTGGGAGCCGGTGAGCTCCACTCCTCCCTCTCTGGAGGTCCTCCAGAGAGGGGGAAAACGCGCATCGGCTCCCAAGCCAGGGATAGGGCCTGGACTCATCCGAGCCTTCTAATCAGAAAAGCACCGAAAAGTTGCATTCCAAGACAAACCGTTCAGAATGGTTGCATTCATCCCAAACCGTTCAGGAATGTTGCATTCAAAACAATACCAGAAAAATAGAGCTTTAGCCATGCAAATGAAAAAAGATGCACAACATTCATCATTGACACGATATGTTGTTCTACCTAAATATTTAACAGAGTCGAAAATCTAAATTCTAAAACTTTAAAAATTCTCCCCGGCCGGGAATTGAACCCGGGTCTCGCATGTGACAGACGCGGATACTCACCACTATACTACCGAGGACACACTTAGCGTTAACATATTAGTCATCAGAAACTATTTGATTGTGTTCATATAGGTACAATGAAGAGAAACATGAATTATGTCATTCAAAACGTTTGAGAATCAACAGAAAATGGTTTGAATAAGGGAAAAAATAATGTACTACAAACTTTGATATTGTGATCATGTGGATGTGTACTACTAGGAGTCGAAACTTAAGCTAATGGACTAAAAGTTCTCCCCGGCCGGGAATTGAACCCGGGTCTCGCATGTGACAGACGCGGATACTCACCACTATACTACCGAGGATCTATAGGTTACTTTCATGATAAAACTTTATCTAAATATCAATCGGATCAAAAATAAAAAATTAAGATTTCAAATGGACAAAATAATAGCCTCACATTCGACTAGGAGGTCGGAGGAACTGTTCAGCTGACTGAGTTAAGTCTTCACGAGAAACCAAAGGTACCAATACTGATGTCTTTCGACCCCGAGAATGAGCATGATCGAACGATAGACCTCCAGCTGACGGAGATCGATCTAAATCTTTTTCCATTTCTTCGTGTTTTCCTAAATATGTAAGTTTAGAGCGTTTATCACGAATAGAAAGGAAAAACTGCGAGGTGTTTGAGGGTAGTTTATTTCTCTTACCCTGACTATCCAGAAGGGAGATTATGACCTGATGTCCTAAAACGATAAGTCAAGATTGTTAAGATAAAAGCGGATTATCATGCACATGCTTCACAGTTCAATATCAAAGTTCAAGAAAACATGGGAGTTACCCATTTCAAAGAACTTCAGGGACAACGAACTGTGCACTTGAAATGATCTCTGCTAAACCTAACCTTGCTCAGTTAAATATTGATCCCACATTGTGTCAACAACTTCTGTACATATAAGTACACCAGAGTGAATCGTTATCATTCGCAATACAAAAATTCCATCGATTTTTATGAAGTCTCTCACGAACTAAAACAGAGAACTACTTTATAAGTACAAGCTAAACAGCTAACTTCCTCCAGTTCCAGTTGTCTTTCGTGTCGCTTGAAATCCACATCAGCTAATTCTAACCGCCTAGTTATGAATCTGCAAATCAAAGCTGATGCAATGTGATAAGAGTGACATACTTCTGACGCTGGTCAAATGGTAAAGAGTTGAAAATCCATGACATGATACTTCCGAAGGTTACTACAGCTACCAAAGTGTACCACAGCCATAGTAAAATGAATATCTTAGAAACATTGATACTTGTAAAATGTAAGTAAGCAGTACCTTCTCTGTGAAAATATTGATAACGAGAACACATTGTACAGTATGTCTTTGGACATGTCCCAATATTCTAATTTGCATATCACAGTAGGTAACAACTGGAAAATTCGGAGATTCTTTCCATCCTAAATAAGAGCATGATACTTATGTTGTTAGCTAAAGGTAACCTTCTCCGCTGACGAGATCCCAGAAAATGCCGTAGCCGTAAAATCCTTGGGAATCCATTTTGAGGAACTTACTGAGTAAATACATCTGCAATAAGTATCATGAATGTAAAGAAGTATTAGACAACATTACTTGAAGTAAAACATTAAGTAAAAAAAGAGATTTGATGCCTAAATACAGATACGTGAGATATCCTTCGAAGAACCGAAGGCGATTCAGAAAGTGTCGAAGCCTGCAGAATTATGTGAAAAAATATTTCATTGAATCAGATCTCACCTCTTGAAGCTTGTATCATGATCGCTATAACGAAATCGATGCTTGAAAACGGACGACAAGTGAGCTGCTAATCCATTTATATTAGCCTTTCTAGTAGCTATGGAAAACAGCTAATGACCAACAACAAAGATGTGAGTGGCGAATACCTGGTTGTACGTTTCCTTTGTCGTTGGCGAAGTTCATGATGTCTTTCAAACGAATCCCCGATTTGTCATATAGAATTCTCCAAAGAAGACATGGAGCGTAGAACATGAAAGCTACGAAAACTAGAAAGAATGGGACCCATTGATAGTACGCGACCTAAACTTCTATTGAGATCACAAACTATTAAAGCGACTGACCATAGTTTTGCCACGATCATGAACTTCCGGTAACTCCGATTCAAAAGGTGCAAAGTAAGTGTTTCGGGCCCAACAGTACATTTCTGAATTACATTCTCAAGACAGCCCTACTCACACCAATAACCTGTATAGTCTTCCCAACTACTCTTGTATTCAGCAGGAAGCCAGCACTCGATCGGCCTACCTCCGAACATTTTAAGACTGATCAGTACCTACAACACCAATTTAAACTACACACTTCCCATTTTCAGTCTTACGGCAGTTAAGAGCAGGAAAGTTGTGGTATAATAATAATGTAAACGATCTGAGATGTCGTCATCAGCCTGGGGCTGTAGAAACGATAACGTTCCTACAATTTCAGCAAAAACCATTCTGAAAGAATACAACAGTAAAGTAAGTAATTAAGCGGATCTTCATATTTGGGAACTACTACTTCAACTATCTATCTCTACACGAAGATGCCCCTGTTACCTAGGTATACGAGCAGCAGTACTGATACGTGGACCTCCACCTCCTCCTGATTTGTGCTGTTCAGCACGAAGACCTGGCTGAACTTCCATGCATTCGGATCCTAATATCGTACAAGCAGTACCGTCGTCGTCACCAGCAGTTAGAACGCTTGGTGACGAAACTAATGAAAGATTTGAGGAATCCAGCAGATGAATTCAGCTTCTAATAACAATAACGACAATCAGAATGCAATTCGTTTGAAGCTGAACAAACGAAAGACTGAGCTTGCTTCCAGGCGGATATGAGGCTGATAACGATCCTCGGTAAACTACGACGACAACATCTGGGAAAATGAAATTATCACACAAGTTTCCGGATCTGAAGAGGCTTGTGCATGGGCATTTCCGATTCTCCGATAAATCGAAACAAGTAAAGTTTTGCAGAGCATAAGGAGCAGCTTCGAGAGAGATAGATAGATGATCAGACTCACGAACAAAGAGTTTCACGTACAATGTCAAGTGAGATTTCGAAAAGTACCTTATAGAAGGGTGAGCAAGTCACTGGCTCCGTATTGGCTGGTAATATAGTGGAAATGACTATTGGAAGGGGAATCGATGGCAGTCAGTTTCGTTAAGACTGTGTGAATCATGAAGCAGGCAAATAAGAGTTAGAATCAGCCATCTAAGGTTCGTAATCTTCTATATAGCGAAATCACCCGATGTACTGCTCACACACTTCAGTAATAACCACACAGCTTTCAGATGACGTGGAACGTGACAAACGATTGCGTGGGAAGGAGAGTATGTTAACCTGCAAAAGAAGATTACTCAAGTTGAAACGAAAGAAAGAGTGAAGAATGTGTTGCTCCGTTATGAAACACGAGGAACCAGATTAGTTTAAACGGATGAGGACAAAGCTGGATACGTGGTAGCCATGAGATCGCATAATCAACATAGCTTACTTTCTCTCTGTCCTGCTCTTCTTTCTCTTCAAAGAGATTTTCCCTCTCTCTATGTGCTATTCGTGTTTGTACGGTCTCATATTCAATATGGGAAAAGACAAACACATCAAGAAAGAACTGCCATCTCTACTCTAATAGATTATTCATAATACAGTTTGATTTAGATCTTCTTCACTTATTCAATGACACCTAGTGAATGTTATATTTTCTTACATCTAAGCGGAAGCTACTGCTTTACGTTCAAAACAAGAAAGTCCAAATGACTGTATAGAGTTATTTGTTTTTGTAGTACACTTGTCCCCAGCCATATATAGCAAATTGCTATATCCCAATCATCAATCTAAGACAAACAACGAGTCTCGGGATCAACATGACATCAGAAATTAATGTTTTGACAGGTAAAACCATTTTTAGACATCACTTTGTTCCAAAATATCAAATATTTTTGGAAAGTAACTCTACTAGGCATACAAGCATGTCCTTTTCTGTTTTCACTAATCATAATTTTACTCGTTATTACTGTTTCCCACAAACCAAACCATGAACAACAATGACATGAGTTCAAAGAACACGAAACCGTATGCCTCCATGATATGCATACATGATCTCCAGAGAAGAAACGTTTTTAAATTGAAAAAAAAGCTTGTTACTGTTAAGAAACTCAAATACCGAGTGCAGAAAGATTAAAAATGAACGAACTACACGAACCCTATAGACTGATAGTTCCATGCTTCATACGCTCGACATATCCAGCGGATTGAGTCATCAAGCTACCAAACAAATCCTGAACAAAACAAGCTTTATCAAAACGTTGCACACATACACGACTCACCTATCCAACACGTGAAGCAAGCTTTGAGAACACGGTATGTAATTATAGCAGTTTTCCCTGATATAACATAAAGATGAACCGAAACGTAGACTGCGGCAAAACCTTCTGAGAGCCTGAAACAGTCATCATCAAGTTTGCAATGCCAGCTTTGATTGCATATTTGTGTTAACAGATCTCTTTCATATTCATGATATTAGACTGTTGCTGAACTTTTCTTTTCAGTTCCAAGCTTCGTCATATCAAACCATAACTATCATTCTTGTGTTCCGGACTGTTTTCAGAGACAGCAGCTTCGCTCTATTCAACTGAGCAAATAAGGGAAAGAAAATCATCATCACTGGATCCTCATCACTTCTTGCACTCTTTATGTATCTCAGCTGTTCTTCTTCATTTTCGGAATGATCTATCAGCCTTTTTTGATCAATTTCCCCTATGTTTTCCCCCGGGCAGAAAGCCCCACCTATTCCATCCATCCCAATTCCAGACGGCATTCTGACATCCATTGACAACGGTGTCGGCGCTTCCGGAAATAGCTCTTCCAGGAAACTACCTCGAATCATACCACCTCTCCCCCTTTGATTATTCACCTAACTCGTTACCGCGACTAAGATTGCTAACGCTCTCCTCATTCCAGATTAATAATATAAAACCAGTGCTTATCTCAACTTCAAATGATTATCAAATTACCTGTTATTTCTTTCCTCATCTTCCACCAGATATCTCAATGTCATGCAAGGGTTAGTTGTTTTCTATTTCCAACAGAAATTTTTTTGTTAACACTTGAATCGTCCAGCTTTTGTTCTGGAAAAAAACACTCCTTTAAAGGTTTGTTACATTCCTAAACAAATATAAAAAAGAGATTTTGGAAGAATTAGAAAATAAGATCTAAAAAACTACAATCAGCAATGATATCTAGAACAGTTAAATCATCAATTATAACAAGTCATCTAACTGCCAATTCTTTTTTCGCAATAAATGACTCATTGAATAGCTAAGTCTACAAACAAATATTAATGTGAAACCTGAAAAAAGCAAAAATATATATAAAAAATGATAGAAAGTAAATAAAACAATAATAAGTAAACAAACTCACTCAAACCTATATCTGCAGCTTACAAATGCAACCGCTCTCTACGACTGCGATTTTAAAAATGACGCCAAACACTTTTACTGTATGCTAATTTACAGGGCAAGCGCATTGATATTTTCACGCAAGATGGCGGGGATATGGTTCAACTGAAAGGCCGAAACCATGGGTAGATTGAGCTTTCAAACCTTGCACTGTAAACTTGGTTAGTGCTCGTTTCAGCAAAGATGTCATGTACAATGCTCTACCACGAAACTCACAATATAAATGGAATACTTACCCAGTTGCTAATAATAATTATGTGATACCATATAGAATAACAGGAGCCTATGGTGAGTTAGGTTGTCAGTAACTACTGAACTTCATTTTTGTAGATGAACTTGAAAAAGCCACAATAGCTGAAGCTATTGCTCGCATAGAGAACAACACGTGCTTAAAATTCAAGGTGAGAACGAACGAGCAAGACTTCATCGATATCCAGAATGAACGCTACGAAGGGTTTACTCTTATTTGAAGAATCCCCCTGATTAATTATCTGAATTCAGTTGTTATACAAGTGTTGGTCGAGTTCCAGGAATCAACATCCTCATGTTGGAATCTAACGAAGCTGCCACGTAATGATCTTCCAACATACTCCTAATTGTGATAACTTTAAGATGTATTGAAACTGATATCGTCATGCACGAGTTGATGCATAGTATCGGTTTATGGCACGAACATATGCGGTACGACAGAGATGATTACATCACAGTTCTATTTGAAAACATCGAGGCTCGTAAGTACAGTTCAGACTTTGTGTAATCTATGAAACTCCCTCCTAGCATATAAAAGTCAGTTCGATAAAGTTACCGAAGAAGAAGCAACTACTTTCAACGTTCCTTATGATTACACTTCTGTGATGCATTATGCTGAAACCGCTTTCGCCAAGAAAGATAAAATCAGTATGAGAACGAAGGACCCCAAGTTTCAAGTTAGTTGTTTTATGAGGCAGTCGAACCATTCCCTTTCAGAAAGTTATCGGCCATCAACGAGATGCTTCTCCAAGCGATTATCAAAAAATCTGTTTGTTGTATGGTTGCGATAAATGTATGGGCCGTGACTTCAATGAACAGGTGACTTCTTCAGAAATGTGACGTCATTCCTCAGAAACTATCTATCTTTTGTGACGTCAGAAGCAAACTTCAACATTTTATGAGAAGAGAAGGAATGTCTTATTTTCAAATTCCAGACTGTGTTGACGAGAGGCACAGACGAGTCTCAGACAGATAACTCTGGTGTAGGTTTACCACCTGTAACAATGCCAGAAGACAATTTCTTCGAGAATATAGGTTCTCATATCGACTTAATCGACTTTTGAATATCTGGTTTCATTACAGATTGTACTGATGTCTTTGAAACTTTATGCCCAGCTCTGGTCCAAAATAGAATCGTCAAATGTAGCGCGAGCGGAGACGACACCTACAGTGCATGTTGTGCCAGCTGTTCTCGACAACGCGAGTCAAAAAGTGCTGGGACAGATTCATCAAAGGGAATTCTACAATCGCTCATTGATATGATCGGATAAAGAGAGTTCGAACTTGCATTCCATGTGAAGCCAGTGACATTCCATTTCAATAGTATTTGTTAATAATTTATCGAAGAATGAATCCGGTGAACCTCAGAGAAGGTGTTTGTTGTTTGCTATAAGCCTGGTTTCAATAAAGATTAGTCAAAAAAATAGTTTATTATTTGGAAATAAAACGGATTAAATTAAATTATGCTTGATTAAAACAGATTTCAATGATTATTAGACGGAGAAAGAAGTCCTTAAAACAATTGAAACTTTGAATCACAGATGGGAATCACGAGAGCCTTTGATATGCTTCGATGAATTTTTTATTTTCTAGTAACCGCTCTGGCCGAACAAGTTGTAAGCTTGGTCTGGAGAAGTTCCTGCAAACGATTACTCTTATAGATATCAAAATGAATTGTGTTACATACCAATGGCGAAAGTACGGAATCCGATTTCGCGCAATTGCTTTTGGTTAAGAATAAGACGACCATCGAAGATGGCAGCAGGACGGTGCATGGTAGCATGGATCTTCTTGTAATCGTAATCCTTGAACTCATCCCACTCAGTTAAAACAACAATAGCGTGAGCATCAGCAGCAGCCTCATAAGGGTCCTCATGAACGGTAATGAGTTTCTCTACTATATATGACATTAAAGTGCGTCATACTTCCTTTATGACTCACCTGAAGCTGAGTCGGAAACTTGTTCGAGTTCCCAATGCATTTGAGATTTGGAGACCTTAGGATCGTAAATGGAAACGCGAGCATGCTCTTCCATCAGATGTTTGATAACATGGATGGCGGATGATTCTCTGAAAACTATGCCTTGAAAAGGAACACATTTAATGCGCTACCTGGTATCTCCAGTGTTCTTCTTGAAAGCGAAGCCATAGATACAGATCTTCTTATCGGTGACGGTGTTGAAAAGTTCGGCAATGATCTTGTCGGCAAAACGACGACGTTGCCAGTCGTTGATTTCGATGACTCCCATCCAGTAGTCAGCAACCTTCTTGAGATTCAATGACTCGCACAAGTAAACGAGAGAGAGAACATCCTTTTGGAAGCAACTTCCTCCGAAACCTTAGACACGAACACTTATCTTCTGAACTACCAACATTCCTACTCACCTACACTAGCCTTCAAGAACTTTGGCCCGATACGAGAATCATGACCGACAGCATGGGCTACTTCGCTAACATCGGCACCTGTAGCTTCACAGATAGCGGAAACAGCATTGATAGAAGAGATACGTTGGGCAAGGAATGCATTTGCAACCTGATAAGCAGAGGGTGTGTACAGTTTGAACATCAAAAGAATATTACAAGCTTAGTCAACTCAGAACTCCAGGTATTTGTAGTGATAATTCTGTCTCTGGGAACCCAACGTTCATAAACACGGACAAGTTGCGAAACAGCTTCGAGTCCTGCAAAACGAAACAGATCATGAAGCATTGACTTTAAGATAAGAAACCTTCTTCAGTTTGATCACCTCCAATGAGAACGCGATCAGGGTTAGACAAATCGGCAATAGCTGTTCCTTCGGCAAGGAACTCAGGGTTAGACAAAACTTCAAAGACTAAGGTGCTGTTGTTCTTTTGAGCTTCGCGGAGGATACATCCGATGCTTTCGGCAGCCTTGACTGGAACTGTGCTTTTCTCAACAACAATCTGAATTCATCCCATGTTGTGATTTGCAACTAGTAAGTAACTACCTTTGGGCCTCCAGCATGCTCAGCAATAGTTCTAGCGACAGACTCTACATATTTCAAATCAGGAGCCATTCCCTTTAAAGAAGAGAAAATATGTGGTCGGACAAATCAGATCAAACCTTTCCTCTTCCATACATCTTAGTTGGTGTGTTTACAGAGATGAAGATAAGATCGGCTTCCCGGATAGCTTTAGCAACATCTGTGGAAAAGAATAGATTGCGTCCACGAGCAGAGAAAACAATCTCATCAAGACCAGGCTGGATTGTATGAACTTAGACCATTATGAATACAAACAGGATACCTCATAAATGGGAAGCTTGTCAGAGTTCCACTCGTCGATCTTTGGCTTGTTCATGTCAACGACGGTGACTTGAATATCTGGGCATTTGTGAGCGATCATGGCACATGTTGGTCCTCCAACATATCCAGCTCCGACGCAGCAAACCTTCTCTACCTGAAAGATAGGCAGTGTTAGACAGAGAGGCTCCACCAATAGATTACTTTATTGAAAACCATTCTCCTAGTAATGGCCTACCAAAATCGAGATGCAAATCTGAAGAAGCAGATTGAATTTACACGTTTGTATCGAGAAAACGAAGGTTTCAAACAAAATATGAGAATATAAAGTGAATTATAATATGTAAATGATAATATAGAATGGCATTGCGTTCACACAGTTCGCATAGTGGCGAAATGAGAAGCTTAAAGGGTGTCAGGAACATCCTGTATGACACGCGATTCCAACTGAGCAAGCTGGCAATCTGTACAAACATGGGAAAACAAAAAGCAAATGAAAGGAAGATGCAGAACATAGATTATAATGAATATAACAAGATGTCAAATGAAGAGACAGATAAGTTTGCTATGACAATTGAAATTGAAACTTTTTCTGTTACGGTAGTCAATTCTGCACAAAATGTGTACGGATCTGTGGACGGAAACGAGATAGAGAGAGAGAGAGAACGAGCGAACTTGTGCAAGAGAAGAAAGCGGATTTAGGAGAAGAACCTATCTGAAGACTATATGACACAAACATTCTGACATTGTGGGAAGATGGATTGAAAGGTCAGAAGGTTGGGTGACATCGGACGAGGGCAAAGACGAACGATTATAACCACCCCACGTAGACATAAAATCTATGGAACAAAAGCTTCAAATGCCAAGCAGATGGAATAAACAAAAACGTCAAAAATGGGAGAGAAGAGAGAAAAGCGAAAAGCGAAAAGATAAAAGTTAAGACATGGAGGGTGAAATGACGAAGAAGAAATGAAAGAAAAAAAAAGATGGCGGTCATTTCTCATGTCGCACAGATGTCTCCTCCAACAGTCCGTTGCGAGGATCATTCAGTCGAACCGGCAGATGCATGGTCGACGATTCGATGTAAAAAAAACCAACCAGATTTGTCAAATCTTTTTGTGTCGTGAATGGACGAGAGAAAATGCGCAAAAACCAACATAAACACAAAAAGGAGAAACGAAGAAAATAATATGAGATCTAAGAAGTCTGCTTAGCTTCCTAGTGCTTCAGTCATTCTTTCTTCCTCTCTATCGCAGACCACTTTCTCTCACTATCTCTCGGTGTTTCGATCGCATTCCAAAAGTACCGGAATAAGAGGCGAGAATGACGACAAAGGACACACCTAACGGCATTTAAAAGATTATAAAAAAGATCATCACGGGTGAACGAAAGGCGGGATTGTTCTGGTCAGTTTTATCAATTTTAGGCGCCAATCGTTTGTCCCTCCCTCTCATCCTCTCAAGCTATAGAGACCTAGTCATCATCGTACTCTCACATACAATACAATACAAGATCAAACATCATAACAACATCCTCAAGCTGCAACGGAGCTCGATTCGAATTCTTTTGTGAAAAACATACTTTCCCAAACCATTTGAACTTTCTAAGTTCAAAATGATAATTATGGGAGACGACGTTTATTTGTGTTAGCATGATTGAACAAGGAAACTGCAACCGAGGAAGGTAACTTCAAACGATATGGAAACCTTGAAGATTATTCCAACTCACAAGTCTACAGTTAGAAAAAGCAAACCATGTTGTGTTGAAAGCAAACCGTTGTTAATTAAAGCGAACAGAAACCATGCTCTCTTGTTATGAAGCTAATTCTGATCAGTGAACGGATAGAAAATCCGGTTAAGCAACTGATTTCCGTTGCTGCAGAAGCTCAGAACGGACATATGTTTGAAATAAGAAAAAAAAAGCCTTTCTAAGGTTAGAACAAGGAGAACTGAAGAACAAATGGGAACAACAGAGGTCATTGGAGGAGGCAGGAACAAGTCAATTAAAAAGAGGAGTGGGTCTCTGATAGCACAATTACTCCTCCCATTCCTCAGCGCAACTTCCAATTTTGGGCTCATTAAAACATCAGGTGTAAAGTTCATAAGATAAGCAGTGCTATTTCGGAGAGAGTGAAATGACTGAGAATAGAACGACAAAGACGAAATATATCTGATGGTCAACTCCTCCTTTTTTCATTATGAAAGTAACATGCCTTGATAAGTTTATTGGGACAATACAAGTAGAACGAAGACGAATGAAAAAGAAAAGCGATTAGAGGAAGGCAATTGGGAATCTACACACCATACATACAACCACAAACAGCTAAACAATACATGAAGCAAAACAGAGAAACCGCCTGGGCAACTGTTTTTGATTGTTGTTAAAGCAAAAGAAAAAAAGCTTTAACAACGATAACAAATTATGTGGAAGAACGATGATTATTTGCGACAACAGCAGCTTTAATTCTTGCATCATCAAAATCTAAGCCTAAATGAACGATACGACAACGATTAGGACATAGAAAGTGGAGACGATAGGTTTTCCTTGATGCTCAAAGTTCATCTGCATTATCAACTTCACCGTCATTTGCCACATCATCATCATTACATTATTACTATTATATATTAATATAATCAACGCACATTAGTCCGCGTAATCGGAATCATTTTCTTCGAAACGCACATTTACCGATAATAAACGACGATCATCAAAGAAATACAGACGATTATCAACAGGATTGAAATGTAGCATTGTCAATCCACGATAAGGATTGTACCAGGATACTTGGCCAGGTATCGACTCATTCCTGAAAACAAATCAAATCAGCTATAATATGCGTTTCAAACTTGTTTTGCAATCAGAACTTTAAAATGTACAAAACTGTATAAGAGGAAATATAAAAAGCACTTAAGAAGCTGGAGTCATTAGCTGTCAGTGAATGAGACAAACACAGTCTCATATAGGGAGGAAGAAACTCTTAGTACTATTGAAAGATTGATGAATGGCGATACAAAGAGATAAGAGATAAAAATGGGAAAAAAGTAGACAAGAAAATGAAAATTCCGCCATAGTACTGGCCCCACGAACAGCGCGAACAAGGAATGCAACCGCTCCGCACACGAGCTCATGATAAAATAAACAACGCCACGTAAGCAATTCACGTGACGTGCGTTATTAGGTGCGCCTAATTGAATTTGGGAGAATGAACGGATCACACAAGCAGTAGACAAAATATTCAAGAAATTTGTGAGATAAGCGCATTCCTAAGAAATTTAAAGTTTTAAGCTTATCGCAGTAAAGCAGAATTCTATAAATATATGTTAGTCTTATCAAAACATCTTACCTATAAAGATCATAAGCAAACGATATATACGTATCGCGGTCTGTTGCGCTTTTTAAGCCATATAGTACACCACACATGATGAATGCATCAGATATTTCTGTTCCGTTAACTTCAGATACTTCCCACGTTTGTACTACATGGAAATTCTGTAAATGCAAATCGCTATAGTTCGCATCTCATTTCTATGTAAACAGAGTTTCTCGCATTCCATAGCTGTTAGGAATTAGATGCTTATCATACAGCTGCGAAATATGAGACTAAACATCAAACTGACCTGTTCAATTTTGCTGACCATAAGAGCTTCAGATTCCTCACGCATATATATAACCCAGATTCCATTCTCATCCACTGCAAAATCAACATAGTTGTGAGCTCGATTGTAGAGCCAAGGGTGACGGTCAGATGCGTTGCAAAACTGAAAAGCAAAGAGATTATGCATCATTATCAACTTTGAACCTCAAATGTGTGGTCAGGAAGACGACCACAATCTATGTGAGCAATGTCTCCCAATTCTGCTTCAATTTGGTCTGTTGTATCGAGATCATATCTGTAAAGGAAATGATATGAATAAGGACGACTACTGAAATGAAAAAGGAAAGAAACAAGCATTACCGCACTAATGAAGTCGTACCATGCTTATGGTAATAATAGGAACCGTTATAAATTAGATTTCCTGTCCCCGATGCCAAATAATCAACATAGTATCTGTTTTGGAGAGAAAGTTACAGAGATAGAAGAGAGAACATACTTTATCTTCTGTACTTTGTTCATCATTTGTTTCTCATTTTCATACTCATAGAGTACAGGAGAGGCGAAGCCGTCTGTTACCCAACGCTTCTCCGACATGGCAGCCGACGATGGATGTGAATCCCTCATCCAAGAGCCTACCTAAAACCCAATTATCAAACTTTCTTAAGTTCCAGGATAATTTACTTTTCCATATTGTGATTCGGCATGTAAAACGGGAATACCAACTGCGGCCAATAAGCAATCTAGACAAAGAACTAACTTGTTTATCACATCATGATAAAACCTCGATTGTTAGAACCCAGAGTTGGAGGACCCGTATAGGGTGGAAGAGTAGTGATATTACTGTTGAACGTTTCCGTCATATTACCGAACAGTGTTCCATTTTCATCTGAATAATACCATATGAGTAATTATACCTTTGAACTAGAACTTATTCAGTTTCTCCAAAATCTCTACAGAACATGTAAACGGTTCAAAACACTCACTTATTTGTGGTTGGTCGAATGGAGATACAGTTGTTGTTCGACGTTTCTTAGTTGGGACTGGTGTTGGGATGGTAGAGAAACGTGGCAGTTTTCGTGTTCGTGCAAGATCAGGCCTGGGCATACCGGGTGACCAACCGGGTGGTGGTCCAAAGCCGGGAGGTGTCGGTTCAAACGGAACGAGCCTAGTCACTTCGACTTCCTTGACAACTACAACAGGTACTGGCACCATTTTTTCCTCTATCTGAACGAATGGTGTTTCATATTATTGCCTAGACAACTTGCTTGAATGACAGGAGGACCAGGGATGGGCACGCGATGAACATACATGTCGGGAAATGAACAATTACATTTTCCTGAACATGACATGAATAAGTGCTAAGGTGGCTAGTTTACCTGCTAGGCCAGGTGCTCCGATTTCTCCGGCATCCCCGACTAATCCAGACGGCCCTACATTCCCCATCGGACCTCGTCGTCCTATAAGGTTACTCCAAAGTTCAACAAAATTGCAATTCAATACCAGGAGGTCCAACAGGCCCAGGTGGCCCAGAGTCACCTCTGGGTCCCTGAAAACCCATCAACTTCATTCCTTCGTCAGCGCAGTAACGATGAACACGAGAACATGATTTTTCGAGAATAGTTTTCTAAGAAAAGAATCAAACAAATCGAAAAGAAGGTAACCAACAGGTATGATGGTATCCTGTCCTATGATAATCGTGTAATCTTCAAGATCTGTTGGCAGTTCTTTAGCACGGGAAGAGCGCTTGGACCGAGAACTTTCGGAGCACCCATTAGAAGGTAAGCTCTGAAGACACAGGTAATATCTTTCAAAAAGTTTAGTCTTACCAGAAGTCTGATGTAAGCTGTTGAATATAGAGCAGATAGTAATAGCAGATTCGTGATGGTCAAGAAATAAAAAAACTTGGACTGTATGTTCTTTTTTGAGGCCTTGTCCTCGCCCTCACGAGGGTCCATGGTACAAGCTCAAATTAGCTCGTTGAAACGTTGGCCACATCTGAAATACAATATTTCGAAGCAAACCCGTATTTAGAAATTTGATAAACTACTGGAGGCTAGCTTGGTCATTTACTATAAACAAAAAAACTGCCGCCTCGCTTACGGTTGATCACAAAAAAAAAAGAAAATGGTCATAAAAATCTTCATTCACCCGTATTTGGATATAACTTCTTAACACATTTCGAAATGATTTGAATAACTCCACATGAGCTCTGGACAATAGTAAAACAGAAAATTAACAAGTGATAGTACACGGCAGTGGCCAAACAGAGCTTATGAGAGAGGCACACGTTACTAATAGAAGAAACCTAAAGAGGAACCCGTAAATAGAAAATGGATGTTAACACGAATGGATTTATGTGCTCTCTCTCCCGGATTATCAGCACATAAAACCATCCCGTTTCACACATTGAGACTCGCACAAAAGAAGAGAGAAAGAGAGAGAGAGATGGGGATTAAAAAAAAAACAAAAAAAGAAACAAAGAGAGAAAAAAAAGAATTCAAACATCCGGTAAGTTCCAGGACCACGCCAATCGAAGATCAGCAAGTCGCTGAGTAACATTCATAGATGGATCATTGCAGGCTGCGAGATACCTATTGTTCTTCGACCATGTTGACGCATAGAGTTTCCTTACTAACTTCTCACATAAAACCTAGAAGGACGTATACAGTATACGAAACATGTTGGGAGTTGCTGTTACCTCCAAGTTTGAATTAGTTCTACTAGAACATGTCATGGTATCTAAACATCTTCCTGCACAATCACCAATAGCACAATCCGCATCACTTGCGCAAGGGCGTCCCTGAAAATAATACATTGAAACCGTGGGAATGTTGCAAAGGTTACAACCTTTAGAAGAGAGTTTAACTTTGACTCGGTGTAAACATCATCAGCATCCATTAGAACGAATCTGTAAAGATCGAGATAGGCTTTCTTCCATTAGGGGACTAAAAACCTTTTGGGGTAATCTGCTGAGAGGCCCAAGTTGTCAAAACGCACATCGCACCATTGGAGTGGATCGTTAAGGAATTCATATAACAACTTCATCGTACCCATAATATGAACTAATATTTTACCCTTAAAGTACATTCATAAGTAATGGAAAACAGATATTCGAGTTACCTTCAGATTCATATAGTACTTCTTCATTCTAAAAGCCACTAATGACTCTGTTTGATAGAAATTACCACAAGTACCAATCAACTAAAAGGAAAGCATCATCAAGATAATTAGAAGCGAAACTGACTTTTGGTGTAACTCGGGTTAATGGCAAAACTCTGAATATAATAAACTCCGGTTGTTGCAAAAGAGTCCAAAGAGAAGTTTTATCAGCTTCAGACAACGTCTCACCAGGCGTTCTAACAAAGAAAGTGTGAATCGAGAAGGACTGTTCTAAAAAACCTGAGGAGAGTTGGCCAAAGTGTTTCCATTAAATGCTTCTTATACTCTCTTGGCCATCCCAAGCCCAAACGGTCATTGATCAGATCAAGAACCTTAACAACGATATAAATATATATAGCTTGGTGAGGGAGCATGCAAACCTTATCACTAAACTCGTCATCGGACATATCGAAGTCTGGAGTTTCAAAATCCTGATATGTGGGATGTGAGCTCTTATATACGGCTAACTGGCCGCCATCTTTTAAAACAACAACAACCTTAAGAGCAGATGGTGAGAAGCTAATGCATTTTAAAAGAGCCTACTTTATGTCCTTCATAGAAATCATTAATAACCCAGTTTCGAGAATAACACAGTCTATTACATGAATCACCGGTAACAAGACCTTTATCATATGCGGCACATAAATCACTTAGAATTTTAATCGCTCTAAATGAACATTTTAATCAAATCATAATAGTTTCAAACCCTAACCTTCTTGTATTAATACCCGGGCGTGGCCCAGCATCTGCCATATCCGATAAGGACATGGAGGGAGGCACAGTTGATATGGCTATAAACAGTTGGATTAAAAGCTTAATAGACATAAGATAAGAATCTATGTAACATTTGGCCGTTCACTAGCAATCTCTCAAAGGTTTGTTTGAAGTTAGGCCCAATGCGCCGCAAAATTTCGTAAACATCTCATTTTCATTACCACGCAGCGTATGAGCGGTTGTATCTCTCTTTCCTTCTCTCCTCACTTGATCGTATATCGGTCGCAGATTTAAAACTAATAAAAAACTTACCTAAAAATATAATATATATAAACAGCATAGTGACTATTGCTAGAGACACCTTCCCTGTCCGAGAACAAAACGTTACTCGACAGAACTCTTCGCAGCAGATCAAAGGTTGCCTACAAATCAAAAAATAATTTTAAAGCATTGTGACAGGACTTCAAATTAAAAGTAGGGGTCAAACAAAATATACAACAAGAAAAGGATTTGTTTACTGACAGAGAGACTCGGATTATATCGTAAACTACTGGGCCTAACAGAGACCTCGCACAAGCAGTTCAGAGGATTCAATGAAGCCACAAAGCAGAAGAAGAGAAAAAGAGTGAGACAGAAAGAGGGTCTGGAACTCGTGCAGAAAAAAAAACAAAAAAACGATATTAAGGAATGAATAAGCAGTTTGGCCTAGCAAGCTGTTGTTCATTGCCTTGCCAAGTGAAGGCCTAGTGCATACGAGAAGATAAAACGAACATTTGATGTGGGATTTTGAAGGGCAATATATAGATTTGTAGTAAATGCATGAAAGAATAATATCATAGATAAAACCAGAAGAAAGAAACTTGTATAACAATCGTTGCGTAGTACGAATGACGGAAGTGTATAAATTGATGTGTGCAAGGTAATGGTAAGAGGATGAAACTAGTTGAACACATTTATATAATCAGATAGGAGTGCTTGAAGGTTTGAAACTATGATTGTAGCAACGATTTTTCTAACAGAGGAAGAAGAATGAAACCCTGCGCATACAATATCAGAGAAAAAGATGTGCAAGATTGTCAGGAGACAGAGGACGATTCACAACGAATGAGAAGTGGAGGGTTGGAAGAGGCTGCCCTGACAGAAAGAGGAATGGTGAGGGGAGAAAACAAAAGTTAGTAAGAATTGAAAAGGTTGTATGATTTCCGCTCGTTCGTTTCAACATACTCAGCTGAGCGTTATTAAGGAAATCGAAATGAGTTGGTTCTGTGGTCCTCATACAAATACCACGGAAAGAGAAAGGAAATACAAAGATCAAATGATATGAGTTGAATTGAAGGGCAGTCACAGCGCAGAAGTTTTCTAATGTGATAAATCGAGCTTAAGACTAATTTGCAAGTAAGACGAATTGGGAAAGACGGGAGAGAGGAGGAAGTGCCATGGAAAGACATGATACAAACAGGATATTAGTGACAGACAAAACACGTTTTGTCTCTTCCCAGTGCTACACATCGAGACAACTATAATACAACTTCAACTCAATCAATAAACAAAAGGAGAATGAGCTGCACAGAATCGTGGGTACCCTCTGAATGTAGGAGAGGCGAAGAAACACATAATTCGCTAATAACAATATAAGAAGATGTTGGCAACAATATGGATAACAGACGCCAATCATCAACAGCACTAAAATAGGGAAAGCACAGTCAGCCAAATGAGAGAAAAGCGGGAAGGCCAGATGAATTGAAGAGAGAGAGACAGTGAGAAAGATTGGAGTAAGCAGAGATGAAGAGATGCGAGAACGAGGGAAATGACCAGAGAGAGAGAAAAGGAAAAAAATCATCAAAAGGCAGAACGAGAAGGATACAGCAAGATATAAATACAACTAGATGTAATAGGATATTAGGTCAGGATGCGACGAGTAGCATAGCCAAGGAGTTGCCAAGTTCACTTTAAATAAACAGCAGGTTCAATAAAATGGGTGAGAAGATCAATTAGGGAAAAATGACGGCGCAGAAAACGACCAGGCAAAGGACTAGTTGAGGGTACAACATGTGTAACATGACAGAAGCGGAGCTGAACTCCATTAATCTTTTAGAAGAAACGGACAGAGTGCAATGCAAATCGAAATCTGACAAATTCGGACAAGAAGCATAATGATCGATATTGGTAGTAACCCGATAAGGAAGAGCAGAGCTATAGCTAAAATAATGACTAACCGCTGTATATGGGGGCACCAGATTAACCATGCTCAACGGTAGAGAAGGGGCTTCGGGGAAGCTTGGATTGAAGAACATTTAAGTAACAACATATGAATCTCCAGAGACAGGAAACGCATGTGTGGCCAAGCCAATAATACGGAAAGAAAACACAATAAAATGACCTCCAACTATTGATTTGGCGTCGCCGGTTGAACACCACTAATAATTTTTTTCAAAAGAAATTAAGTGGGAAAAAAAGAATAATTGGCGAACTTCAGTGCAAGTAAGATATGGAACGAAATATTGCGGGTTAGGTCAAGAAGGGCTTGTCGAATAGGAACTAGATCCAAAACAGAACCGTCAAATTAGGTAGGACAAGACGAGAAAACTCAAAATGTGGTACATCGCTGATCGATAACACAACTGATGGGAAGATAAGAAGGACTTTGAAGACCGGGACAAAGTAGGCAAATTTTACGCAAATTTCTCATACGACGCTTATCAGGGAATAATAAAGATAAGAAAAAAAGAATAAAAACAACTCACTGGTTAGGACAGTCCTCCTCAGAACATAAAAGTTTCCCATTCAGTTCCTGAAAATTAATTGTAAACTCAGATAGCAGTGAGAATCATTAGAGCAAGTTGATTAAAACCTAATGTGTTTGTGTGAGGTAGGACAGACAAGAGAACGACAGGAAGATGGAAGTTGTCGAATGACTCACCGACTGATTTCCAATTCGCAGAGGAATCAACCTGCGAAAAGGACGCTTCGAATTGCGAGAATACATCTCTACCTTTATGAATACGTTGGCATGGAATAGCAACGTAACTCAAGAAATCGTCGTGAGACGAGAAGGAAGTGCACAGCGGCAGAAGCTGAAGTCTAATATCGGAGTATACCAACAATTCTAATGGGAACGTTATTGTGCAAATACGATTTTCTACCACTTTTCAGTAAATAAAGAGAAAGAAGCAACTAATTATGAAGAATAAATCAGCTTTTCGTCCAAAATATGCACAGGCTGGTCTTGTAATCGGAGCACAGAAAGGTTCAGGAGCGCTTCTCTCTCTCTCTGTCGCAATCTCACATCCTACATTACAAAGAGATTTTCTCGCAGATGTGCAAGATCATCTACTCATCATTGAGCATTTCTTAAAACTTTCAACTTCAAAAGATAACAGCATTATGAAGTCGTAAATCAATGAAACGCGTGCTGTTCCCTCCTGTCCGTCTTGTTATTACTTTGAAATCCCGTCAAGAAGGAATTATAGCTCAATAAACACTACACTCAGAATGATTATCAATAATCTCTACACCAATATGAAGATATAAATAATGTACCTTCTCATCAAAGTCGTCATGTATACTCAAAATATCCATTTGCCGATCAAAATTTGGAACAGCATTTGCCATCAACACATCACATCCGTTATCATCGCCTTCCTGTAATTAAGCAAATATTACTCAAATTCTGATACTTACTTGTTCTCATTGATACTATTTCTCGATACTAATACTAACTTACTTTTAAATTTCGACGAACTCAACATTCGAATTCGATTTTACTCATCCAGCACTGAAATAGAGCACGCGATTCTCAACGGAGCATGAATTTCGCCCACGCGGAATTCTTCGTGTATGCATCCGTGCCAGGCTTGTTCCGACAATCAATCGAAACTTCATCTATATATTATATGAAAAACAGGGTAATCTCTCGTGTTGTTGATAGTAACAACATGATGCAGATGAAAAATAATTTTTTCAGCCATCAAAGGAAAAATGAAAATAAAATGAGAAAAAAAAAATCATTTGCTGAAATAGTGGCTGGGCTGTAATCATCCGTATGAGCTCAATCAACAAGTTATTTTCAGTTTTAATCTCAATCGTATGTAGCTTTCATATTAAATGCTATAAAAGTCATTCAAATGCATGAGCTGCACAATGGCAACTCAATGATGCCATATGAGGTGTCTCAGTCAATCAATTCATAAAAATAAACACAGTAATGACAAAAAAATTTATTTTTTCTTTTACAAACATTGAAACACATGAAGCAGCTAGTCGAAATATACATTCCGTCATTAGTCGATCGAAACTAATTAGCAAAGCCATGGGATAATTCTGAAAAATGGGCGTGACCCACTTCGTTATGACTTGTTGACTTTTTGAATTTTTGAATGCAACCGCTCTATGCACATGTTCGGGAAAAAATGGTTCTGTTGCTAGCTTCACTTAAAATATTCTGTGACGTGTCATTCAAAATTATGAGAATCGTATGTGCGTCTGAAAAAAACATTGAAGAAAACAAATTTTTTTCTGTCTTTTTTTCGTTTCGTTGATTGACGTCAACGACAATACATTCAGTTGAATTGATTTAGCCAGTTTCTCATAAGTTGTTTACTGATAAGTACACTTACCCAATAGCCATGTATATAGGACGTGAGATTGGTGAGTGATTTGTGAGATGCTTCAAATCGTTGGCGTCATCAATGATGATCATACCCATCACATGGTCTTCGGAACGTAATCAAGCAACTTCACGAGATATTCAGAAGGATTTTTCATTAGACGAACAAACATTCGAATTTAAGGATGACGAAGACGACAATGATCTATCGTTTGAGTGGTTTGAAGTTAATGATTAAATGTTTGTTATATGTTGATTCGTTATAAAATATTCTAATTTCTGGAAAAAAGCTCAACACTGAAAGCCATTTGAACAATCCAATCGACAACTATTACTGTACTTGAGATATCTGTCTGATTTTGTTAATTTTGAAAGATTGTTTAGGAGCAAGTTTTTGTGCACTTATCCGAAGAACCGGATGTTGGATGACAGGTGCTTTTCCTCATGGACCTGGTCGACAGTGCCATTCGCACTGCTTCTGTCTATCAAATTCTTCTCTCGTTATCCGCTGAAATCGTAAGAAATCTTGAGACTTCGCCTGACTATCTTATACACGTCTTGTGCACATAAAGTAAAACAAAAAGCAAAGAGAGAGAGATTGCAGAGAAAATCGGCTAAATGAGAGTCAATGAAAAGATGAGGAGAAATCTCTTCCATTTCACGCCTTCATTTGACTCTGAAAGTCGGGCGCGGCTTTTTCTCAGATGCTTCAACGATATGCATTGCCACTAGCTTACCGTTACCGTGACCACGTGACTGATTGTGCTCTGACAAAAAAAAAGCCGGCAATCTGCCAAAAATTACCGAAAACTCTGCAAAAACTACTTTATACATCCTCAAAAAAATGTTTGCTTGATATCCTTTTCGTCTTTCATAATCAATATCTTTGGATTTTGCTTGTCTTTTCTTTGAACACGAAGTAGCGAAGTTCTTCTCTCCCTTTCACCTCCCCCTCTCTCCCACCTAATCCCTCACAACATCTTCAACTCTCACCCGCCCACACAGCTCACAGTGCTTTGTCAATTCTTATATACTTCCAATTTTTCTCTCTTAAATTTATATTATGAAAAGCTGCATAAGCACTTTCGGACCTCACTACCCTCACAACTTCATCACCATTCTACACCATGTGTCATCTAGTGCGAGTATCAATATTATCATTTCTTTCCATTTGCCCTTCTATTTCTTCTTTTCTTTTTCCTCTTTTTTTTTTCTCATTTTTCTCACAACTTTTACAGCTGGTAGCTATTTAAAGCGCAGAGAGATGAGCAAATGACGTAAGAAACCCACCAATCTTGAGGTGAGACTCACATTTTTTTCTTCTTTTCTTTTGGAGGAGAAGATGAAATAATGAATGACTGTGAGTGAGGTGATATGCAGGTTACTTTCTACACGTAGGCAACCTAGCTTGCCCCTCTGTAGAATGGAAACTCTTACCTCATCGCATATATACACACACAGAGGTATACACAACCTCATCCACATACATACACCGACACATATGTCCTGGAATTGCTTTGAATCTCAATCTATTGCATAGGAATCTTCCATTTCATAATTCATTACACGATTTTTATGCTATTTATACGAGAAGTCTGTTCTATCTTTTACTTTGTCTTCTTCTTATCCTCAAAGTTTTCAAGAAACAGCCGCGTGCCTTCATTGCATTTTCCCCACCTCCACCTTCTCCTTCCCTCCGGCAATGTGGGCAATACTTCAGACATAAAATAAAAATAGAGAGAGATATAAAGAGAGTGAGAGAAAGAAACTGAAACAAGTGAAGATAAAGAGATTAAGAAGGAGAGAAATACTGAGGGGGAAAAGATGAGCTTTAGCTTGTCTGCCTCGTTTTTCTCCTAGTATCGATCAATCAGTACAAATTTTCATCGATTTATAATATTGGACGGCTGCTGCAAGATAATTCCTATTTTCTCAGATGATCACTTTCATGAAATTATCGGATGAGCCATCATCCTAACCAACTTGAGAAAGATTCCTTTTGCTTATGTGAGCAACAAAAACTTCAAAATAATTTCTTTTCTTCTACAAATACTCGAGCTGTTTATCTTTGTGAATCATTATAAACTTCTTCTTACTTGTAATAATAATGAGTTTTTCTTTATTTATATGATTCAAACAGACATCTCGGAGGTGCTTCAACCTTTGACTGATCTTCAGTTTGTCTTTTCCTCGCCGCTACTGACCTCCTCTTATCATATCTCCTTTTGCTCTCTTCTCAAGTTGTATTTGCCGTTTCACACCGATATTCAAGAATATAAGCTTTGATGTTTAGTTCAATCCTATTTCGTCCGTTACACATTAAGCGTATGATGGTGAAGTGATGTCGTTTGATTCCATATCTTCTGGAGCCACCGGCTGCTTTCCGCGACGAGCTCATACCATCACAGCACCAGATGAAACACATATATATGTTGTGAATGTGAGTTTCTTCGCTTTCAAACACTATTTAATGAGGATGAACGTGACTCAAACCAACATTTTTTTGGTTCAAAATGTTTGTGCTCGAACGTGATCGAAGTTAATTGCTTTGATCGTTGAAACATTGTAATTGTTATTGGATGAAAATTTGAAAAACAATAGATTTTCAATCGATACTTCAGGTTTACTTACATTGCTTCAATCCGGAGAATGAAGCTGATCGTCTATCCATCGAACTTCATAAAAGGTCAACAACTGAAGAGTTAATTGAGAAAGTCATTCAATTGAAAGATGGTATATCTGCTTCAAACAGTAATCGTTACTTCCTCTTCCCTCTCAGAATTCACCGGACAATCACCTGACGATTATGAGTTATTTGAAATGATGGGAACACCTGATGGCCAGATGTACAAGGTTCAAATTAATTGAAAATAACAGAAGTAAAGCAAACTATCATTAATCAGGAAAGACGTCTTGACCGAGGAGAATATCCAGTAGCTGTTCAGCTCATATGGGCTCGACAACCATCTACAGATGAATCTTCACCGAAAAACAGATTCGTCTTCCGGTCAGTAATTGTATCTGAGGCATAGAATCTCCTCACTTGGACTTACAAAAACGTCAAATTCAAATTTCAGCCACAAAGGCACACGAGCTTCAGCAGGTGGCACGAGGTTTGGGTCAGCCGAAGCTGCTAGTACAATTGATGCATTCCTCGCTAAGTTTCTTACACAACCACAGGTTGTTGTTTATTAATGCAATACATCATCAAACCTTTTCATTCAGGATAGGGAGTATGCCGATCTTTGTATGCTGCCGGAGCTGACGGAGCAAACCTTATTAGACAACTTGCGTGATCGTTTCAATTCCGGTCATATATACACCTATATCGGGCCTATCCTTGTAGCTGTCAACCCATTCAGGTACATAGTTGTAATGTTGATTTTACTTGACAATGATTTTTTAGCTTCTTCCCCATATACAATCCTAAATATGCTCGTCTTTACTGTCAAAGTAGACGATTGGGTGCTCTTCCTCCCCACATATTCGCCATTGCCGACATAACCTATCATAAGTGGGCTTTGGTCTTTTGCCTTATTGCATCTAATTGAATTCACTTACAGTATGTTGCGAATCAAAGAAAACCAATGTGTTGTTATAAGTGGTGAGAGTGGTTCTGGAAAAACGGAGTCCACTAACCATCTTATATCACATCTAACAACGTTGAGTCAGAAAGGTAGTAGTGGTTGTACAGCTGACCAGACGTTGTTGAGTGCCGGGCCGGTCTTGGAGGTAGAAATTCGGAAAACTTAGAGGGTCTAACAATGATTATTCAGGCTTTTGGTAATGCAGTGACGCTTCAGAATAATAACAGTAGTAGATTCGGAAAATTCATCAAAATTAATTACCGTGAGAATGGGATGGTTTCTGGGTTTGTTGCTTTGTCTGCCTATCATTGTGACGTCGTCCACTCTTCAGGGCAAATGTTGAAATTTATTTACTAGAGAAATCAAGGATAATATCACAAGCCAAAGGTGAAAGGTAAGTAGGCAGTGTTTTGACTCCTTACCTCATTACCTCATTACTCAGGAACTACCACGTCTTTTACTACTTGTTGGAAGGTGCTACCGAGGAACAACGGGCGGCATTCTACTTGATGAAGCCTAGCGACTATCACTACTTGAATCAAGTAACTTGTCCATGATTTTCCTCACATATATTCCTCTCTTCAGAACGAACCATTTTCTCCAGAAGGCGTAGATGAGCGCTATGAATTTGATCGACTTCGACATTCCATGAACAGCGTTGGCTTCAACCAAAACACGCAGCACACCATATTTGCCATTATATCAGCTGTATTATTACTGGGTAACATAACATATATTAAGGTACACACTAGTAGTTTATTCAAATAACTCACCATTTGTGGTTTTGTAGAGACATGGATATCACAGTGACGAGAACGCTTACATAGAAAATGAAGAGATCGTCGATCTGATTGCCCAACTGCTGAACATAAAGAAAGACTTGTTGTTACAGGTAATCGAAGTCCAAATCTAATTTAACTTCACCTTATTTCAGGCTCTTACAATGAAGCGTCATGTGATGAAGACCGAAACCGTTGTTACTCGGTACAGCGTAGTTGAGGTATTGTGTTGAAATCGCTGTTCGCAGTGAATCTTTGACTTCTTAGGCCACGAACACTCGGGATGCCATGGCTAAATGTTTGTACAATGCCTTGTTCCATTGGATTGTTTTGCGTATCAATCAAGCTTTACTCAAAAAGGAAGCTGGCTCAAAGGGATATTACATAGGTCAGTTGTTGTTTACGTCTTTTCACGTATCACGTAAAAGTCACGTAAACGCATTTCACGTAAATATCACGTGAACGCCAGTCACGGAAAATTGTTATTCTTAAATGAAAAAATATGAGAGCCGGTTGTTCTCTTTTCAAATGAGTTCGTTAGGTCATATTTTGTCATTCAGGTATTCTTGATATTTTTGGATTCGAAGATGTCGGCGCGCAATGGAACTCATTTGAACAGTTGTGTATCAACTATGCTAATGAGCATCTCCAAGCGTATTTCAATCAACATATCTTTCAATTTGAACAAGTAGACTGAAATTTTCCAACTTGTTGAAATATATTTTTTTAAGGAAGAATATTTGAAAGAAGGGATCTCTTGGACAAACATTGAATATACCGATAACACAGAATGTGTCCAACTGTTCCAGGTATATCTCCTCGTTCTAATAGTTGCAATATTAAGTTAATTTAAGAGCAAACCATATGGACTTCTTCGATTAATTGATGAAGAAAGTAATATCAACAATGGTACAGATGACTCTATGCTAGCAAAGCTTAATCAGTTTCTAAAAGTACGAATTCATTTTCATAAGTTGTTAATCATTCGAACTATTCAAGACGAACGAGTATTATGAGACTCCACAACGCAAAGAGCCAGCCTTCATCATAGCTCACTACGCTGGGAAAGTGAAATACCAAATAACAGTAAGAGACTTCAAAACTTTCTTTGCAATATAAATTCTCTATTCTTTTCCAGGGATTCAGAGAGAAGAATAAGGATTTGATGCGTGTTGATGTGTTGAATACTTTAAAAACAAGTCGAATAGCTCTGATGAAAGCACTGTTGGGCTCTGATCCTGTGGCAACATACAGGTTAGTGCTGCTTTGATTTTATACAATAAGACTTGCAATATAGATGGGGTTTCTTACGGACGGTGTTTCGAGCAATGCAAGCTTTCAAACAATCTGGGAAGCGTTTGCAACGCAGTGGTTAGTATTAAAGTATTTTGATTTATATTGTTATGTTTGTTTATAGAGTCGGCTGGTCATTTACGCGTGTTAGAAACGGTTATTGCTCCTCGGAGAGGCTCTGATTCTGCTTTATCTGCTTTCTTGCGTGGAGACCTGCATATTGATTTACCTGATTTCTGTGATACAAGCATGTTCGACACAATCTTCAATCAAGCACGGCGTACACCAGCTGGACGTGTTGAGGATAAGATGAGTAATTTGAAAAGCCTACAGGTAGTTTTTGTAACAGAGAGTGGTATAACTGTTATATTTTCTGTAGATTCTAAAAGAAACGATTGGAAAAAAGCCACTCTCCAAAAAGCCAGCTAGTGTTTCAAAACAGTTTGAATATTCACTCAGCCGTTTGATGAACACACTTGGCCATGCTACTCCTTACTTCATCCGCTGCATTAAAAGTAATAACGATAAGGTAATGATTTCTTCTCCTCGAGAATTCTATTTATGTTAATTTGCAGATTCCCAACCATTTCGATGACAATATCATCTTACGTCAATTGCGCTACACTGGAATGCTTGAAACCGTTCGCATCCGACGTGCTGGTTATTCTGTTAGAATTGAATATGATGTAAGCTTTCTATTGTAATCTGTTTTTTCATTCTCATTTATTTCCAGAGTTTTGTACAACAATACCGTATCCTCTTAAGGCATGGTCGTGACAGTACTGTGGATGATGTCAAAGAGTTCATTGGCTCTCATCCCTTTATTGAAACGGTCAATATTCAATACGGTGTCAGCAAGGTAAGACTAGATAAAATGCTTCGTTTACTCATTGTCTTCTTTCTTCAGGTGTTCATGCGCGACGCGGAGAAGCTGATTCTGGACGACCATCTTCACAGGACCATCATGCAACACATAAGTATATTTTATTCATGGCAAGATGTAGAACAGCTGTTATCAGTATATCTTTTTCTCCAGGCGCCCTACAGCGATGGTTCAGAACGTTAATTGCTCGAAAACGGTACCTGAAGCTGAAACAAGGAATTGTAAAAATTCAAGTAAACACTCTCCACAAAGTTTTTTCGTAACATACTATTCATAGGCTTTGGTACGCGGTGCGCTGGCTAGGAATCAACTGAGGAGAGAAGCTTATGCTGCCTTAGTGATTCAGTCTAACTGGAGAAGGTATGCTCAAACCAATTGAATGTTATTATATAGTTTTCTCAGATATCATGAAGAACATCGCTACCTTCTTATCAAGAGAGCTGTGCTAGCTATACAAGCAGCTTATCGTGGCTGCGAGGCTAGGAAGCGTCTCAAAGATATTCCGAAATCTGGTCAATTGACATTCCGTCCGCAGCGAGTTCAAGCTGTTCAACTGAGCAAGTTCGATTTGAACGATCCTGAATCACTTCTGCCGTTCGTTACTTCTGATGATGATCTAGACAGGTAGTTGCAATTTGCTGCTCCCAACTCAAGCATCATTTCAGTGAGCTTTCATCTGTCGGTGGATTAGATGAGGATTGTACTGAAGGCAGCGTTCTTGGAGATGCAGATTATCGAGAGTAAGTCATTCAAATGTTCAACTGGAATCAGTATCTATTTTCAAGAGTAGACGACGCCATTGAACTGGATGCTACCTTCATTCTTGAAGATGCACGCTTAAAGCTTGTCAAGTTGAGTTCGTGTCAATTTCATTAAACATCGTCTTTATTAAAGTGATGTTCCCGATCCATCGTTCCATAGGCGACAATCTCTGGCTGCAACTGCTTCAACGACTAAGTTGAAAATGATGCGCAGAGCCAACAGCACCGAAAGTAATCAGCTTCCTAGATCTGAAGAAAGCTACAAGCAACTACAGGTAACTATCATTGCCTAATGCCTCGTAATAGTTTTATTTGCAGCAACTGTCTCAGGAAGTCACCAAGAAGAAGACGGGTAGTCGTTTAGGATTCACTAAAGCCAAACGTAATCTTAAAGCGCTGTTTGGTCGCAGAGGCGATAGTGGTAATGATGAGCTCGAAGAACAAGAACCGGGTACCAGGTATCTTTTGACCATGTTATTTATATGAATGCATTTTTTTTCAGCAATGAATTGGTTGCGGATCAACCTAGAAGAGATCATCAATTCAAAATTTCACGTTTACATCGACAGGAAGTATGTGTGTTATGTAATAGACATCTTACTGGTTTTATATCTCAAGTTCACAAATGCTCAAGTAAGCTATTTTTGATTACATGAGGGGAATTGTAATGATTTCAGGGTGCAAAATGTGTTTTCATAAGGAATGTTCCTCTTTTGCAAACTCTATTCCCTGTCAAGTACCCTCACCGATCTCATCTCCTACACGATTACAATCACCTAAGAGGGCTTGGGATATTATGTAACTCTTTCATCGATTATCTGTAAATAACCTTACTTCTTAAGGTATGGAAAAGGACGACAATCCACTTCACCTCTGCCATCTCCTTGGAGATTCAACCTTCACAACACAAAACAACAAGTGGGCACTCAAGATTTGTGCACATCATGCAAATAACCTTATAGACTGATCCTGGCAATATGATTGTTGAATCTACAGAGGATCTTCGGTTGTTCAGTGTATTCATATTCAAGAAGCAAACAGAACTTGACCACAACTCTGCCAAGCGTGACACAATCGTTGATGCTATTTTCAAAAAAAGTTTGCGTCAATTTCATATGGAACTCATCGGTCATGAAGCTGTATCCATGGTATTTCTAATCCTTCTCTTCACTATACATTCAAATGATCTAGGAAGAACAAGCAGTCTTGAAATATCGCGATCTCATAACAACTTTTGAAGGATTACTTACTAAAGTATGTCGAGAAGAGAAAGTATCTTTTCCAACAACTTTAGGAGTTAATGCTTTTCGGTTTGTGATTTCCTTACTTCTCTATATACTTTCGGTTTTAGCGGCTTTCTGAACGAATTCATGCAACAACAACTCAAGAAGAAAGGTTCAAAACAGAAAACTGGCATCATCAAGGTAGTTTTAATTTTTAAAGATGTAACAATACCAATCCCGTCGGATCCATCCCTCCCCTCATAGCTTTATATGCACTTTAACCGTTTTGGCATTATCTTATTCTTTCTAAGAGTGATGTGATAAACTCTGAAAGGAAATGAGACCCTAATGAACAGCATATGCACTTAATCACATTCCTTCAGAGCGTTCGTATGAAGCGCAGACGATCCGACGTTACAGTGGTATGCTCTCTTTCCCATACATTTCGTTTAAACATTAACTTTCTCTTTGAAAACCATAGTTCAGATTTGATTTTGGCTTTTCTGTTTAATTCGTTTACATCCTGATTAGTAGTACGAGTAGATTTAGTCAAAGTTCTACTAACATATTTCTAATCATTACCTTTCTGAGTTATAATCTATTCCAATGTGAAACAAACCATAGGTTTGCAATCAGTTTGGTAGAAGTAGTTAAATAAGCCAGTTTCCCTTTTGTTGAAAATAACTCCTTTCATACTTATGGCGTTCGCGTATAATCTCCTCTGTATTGATTGATACTGCCAAGTAATCAATCAATTATATTCTGAATATGCAAATTCAGTTAATTATCTTCTTCTTCTCATAATGAAGAAGATGTTTAAGCACTGTTAATCAGTTATCTCATTCAACTAAGCTTTTTCAGATGCATGCTGGGCATCGTTTTCGTTCAGATATTGTCCATGTCCCAACGTATTGTGAATCGTGCAATCAATTCATGTGGCATGCAGAAAAGATTTTGATTTGCGTCGCCTGTCGAATATCTTGTCATAAAAAATGTCACTCAAAGCTCACTCAACAATGTGCTCTCAGTGGACAAAATCTTCATAACACTAAAAATTCGGAGGTAATTGTATTATCTTCAACGAAATATCAATTATTACCTTTAATAGACAAATGGTCGATTTTTCGGTGTTTCACTGAATTCTTTGGTGGACGATGGAGAAAACAGTATTCCACCATTGATTGATAAATTATTCATGAACATTGAAACGAGAGCTTTATTCGTTGAAGGCATATACAGGTTTGAGCAATCTTGATCATTTCCGTAAACGGGTTATATTTTCAGAAAAAGTGGTTCTATTGCTCAGGTCAGAAGTTCTCGTAGGTCTATAGAAATTGCTTCTGGTAAGAATATACACTGAAATGACACTATAATAAGAGTTTAGATACCGAAAGCATATCCTTTGATGATGTTCCAGTTCACGTTTTATCAACACTTATCAAATCATTCTTCCGTGAAATGCCCGAACCATTAATTACCTTTGATCTCTATGAAAATTTTTTGAATGTATCAGGTGAGAAAATTTTGTTAAACAGATTCAAGTTCTTTTTCTTAGAAGTAGAAGATAGCTTTGAACGAGGTCGTTGTTTATCAGTTATGATTGATCTACTTCCAAAACATAATCGCTCATTATTAGATCGTTTAATGTTCCATCTCGCTCGTGTCGCACATCAGGTAGAAGAGAAAGACCAACGGAATCATAACTGAGTTTTCTTTAGGAAGCTGTCAATAAAATGGGTCCTTCAAACTTAGCTCTCATATTTGGTCCATGTATACTACGCAGGCAGGAAACAGTTCACGCTCAGGTTCGGAAAAAGAATTTTTACCTATCGCTAACATGGTTGTTCCTTATTAAAAAATGTATTGTTAGGGCAAGGTGACTCAGTTCTATTGTAATCCATCAAACGTTCAGAGCTGTTGCATTCTAACACGCAGACGCTCAGAGCAGTTGCATTCTAACACACAGGCGCTCAGAACTGTTGCATTCCATACAGACGCTCAGAACTGTTGCATTCCGTGCAGACGTTTAGAATTGTTGCACTCTAAAACATATGCCCAAAACTGTTGTTCTCTAACCCATGTGCTCTGAACCACGCCTTCGTTCTTATTTCGAAACTGTTGGTTGATAATCACTGAAAAATTGATCTATCCTCTTTAACATTCTTTTATTTGAATCGAGTTAGATAGTTTTCTTAACTTCCAGGAACAATTGAATGACGTATCTCGACAAGCCATATGTGTACAGACATTAATAGAAGAAAAACTTCGTCAATATAAAACAACCCTTATTAGCATCGTACAACTAGAAGATGCTAGCCAAAAGGTTTCGATTTCTTGATAATCTCGCTAGAAACTTCCTTTTTACAGGTTTCGGCTAATTTGAAACTGATAGAGGAACATCGTCAGCAGTCTGAAGAAGAACAGATCCCATCGAATATCGGAACTGCTAAGCAATTATTCGAGGAACAGCTAGACTTCCTCGGAAAACAAAAGTGCCTAACATATCATTATAATGCTCTTCATTGTCTATTTTACAGAGAACGGTTAATTCAAGAGCTGCCACCATTAGCTCCGGTAGCTTCTTCAGAAGATTTATCATCATCAGACGAGCATTCTGCTGGTAAAAGAGAATATTACAAAACTTTCATCTCATGTTTACTCATAGGTATCACTTCCGAAGAATATGCCTTAGATTTGGACGCTCCACCTGTCTTCGGAGTTTTGGTACATCTTACGAAGTCTCGACCAAGATCGCTCAACTCAAGACGAATTATTCCATCTAGTCAAAACCAAACAACCAAACCGGTCATTTTTTTCACCCCAAATTGAAATCAAATCGCTTTCTTACTAATATAAAATAATAATAAACTTAATTATGATTTTAATTGAACATATTGATTGATCTAGATCATAATCATATTGATTGTATATGCGGAAATGTGCTGAGAACATATTTGATATGGAAAGGAGGCAAATGACAAACATTTCAGATTACGATAACAAGCATTTTTGATTTCCAATTGGACATATGAAAATATAATAAATACATACAGACACGTAGCACAAAAAATATATAAAAAAATACCGTCAGAGATCATTACATAAGTGGATCACGACTATCACGACTAGTGGCCAAGGACAGATTATCCCGGCGTTGAAAACGGGGATTAGCTCCGGATCCGAAATTACGCAAACTGTGATCTAAACATGTGTGTTAAGAATTGTCAGTTGACTTTAACAATACTTGAAGTGGCGTGTTGTTTTTTGGTTAACGCAAAGTCGAACGTGCTAGAGTGTCCTGAAGAGATGCGTACCATCGGATTACGATGATTCCTAGGATCGAAAGAACGTTGCTGAGTTTCACGTTGCTTTCGTTCTGTTTCAGTAAGCTTACGATAAGTTACCGTGTTATGAGTTCTGAGACAAATGGCACATGAGCTAGAATAATGATAACAAAGGATTACCGATCAATGATTGGTTTTCTTGAGCACAAGTATACGGCACAAGCAAATACGCTAGCAAGAATCCCAATAATAATACCAATCACCAGAATCATAATAATAAGAACTGTTGAACGATTCTCTCGCACAATCGGTGGAATCTAAGATTAGGTATATCTAGCCTAGTTAAATCAGGTATAACTTACACTGATTCCAGCTGATTGCATGAAGTTAGAACTCGATGAAGATGTTGAAGCCGGAGCAGTAGGAGATGGTGGTTGTGGCTTATGAAAATTGGCCGGGACTGGATCACGACCTTGAAGAACTATGGCTGGTTGCTGATAATTCTCTTCCGGTAACATGACGAAGTCGGCATCTTTTATTCTGTCCTGTATTTCAACAGATGAGAGTTTATATTTAAAAATGAAAGTACCCGAACTTTAGGATCAACATCGCCAGGCATGGCATCAATTATTTCTTTGATAATAAAGGAATCAGATGACCCACGCGGTGCATAGACATTATTACCATACTTTCTACGAGGTTTGACTTCGACAATAGCACCCTGCTCTTCCGGTCGGCTAGATAGAGCCACTCGAAAGACATGTATGCCGCAACCTAATAAAGCATATAGTTATAAAGAATCATTTAAGTAGTTAAGAGTCTACTTGTGCCATTGCCGGGACGACATGGAATAGGAGTAGCAGGTGCTGCTGCTGCGAGCAGAAATGCTATAGGAAGGAATAGCAAAGGACGAAAGCTTATCATGGTCATCAAGTAACATCCATGACGAGTGTAAGTCACAAATCAAACTGTAATGTTATATTTTAGAGAAGAAAAAAACATTTCGATCATTACTGGCGGAAGAAATTAATAAATATTGACGAGCTGATTAAAATATAAAAATGATTGAAATGTGTAAAATTGCGTGAAAGCTGTTGGCTGGAAAGAGATGTGTCAAGTATGTTGTTATGTTTGAGCCGTCAATTGATATTGATGATTTGCTTTGTTTCAGTAAAAATTAATTAAGAAAAACGATATTCCACATAGTTGTATAAGACAATTGATACAGGTTTTTATAATCAAATATGGATATCAATCATTTGTCAAAACAATATACGATCTCAATGATAAACTGAAGATGAAGAAAAGAAGAAGACAATTCCAACAATCATCATCGTCATATAGAAAAATCAATTGTCAGACGAGAAATGTGGATGCGAATGATACTTCGTTTTCATCGTCTTCATGTTACCACCAATAGGTAACAGGGAGGTAATCATTTATATTTCATTGTTTCAAAATTTATTTTAGACGATTCTCAGATATACGATTAGGAAGGAGAGGGTTTGGATTGAGGTATAAGAAAGAGAGAGGAAGAGAGAGAGAGAGATGGATTAGAAAGAGAAATGGCTGATTGAGGTGATAGTTTTTGCAAACTGTTGGCACCGGAGACGACCGTTTGACAGATTCGTGCCAGATAAGAATCTGCAAATTTGAATTTTCTAATTTATTTTTGGACAATCTATTAAAATAGAAAAGTGAGTTAGAAAGGACAACAGCATGTATTATGAGAGATCCGAACGTGATGTACGTTTACGATTGCTTCACGAGTGAGGTAGAGAGAGAGAGAAGCACGGGGTGTGGAGAAGAAAACAAAGAAAAAGAATTGAAAAAAAGGTTTTATTTTGAAATGATTTGGATGAAAATCTTATCTCTTAAGCAAAGTAATTAACTTGCATAAACGGGAAAACTGACTGATGGATGGAAAGGCGTGAAAAAACTGAAAAAGTCTTCAATCAGCTCCTTATTCAGAAGAATAGGCTGTTAGGAATATGAGTGTTAGAAATGATATTTATAAGTTATACCATTTGAATACAATGAATAGAAATTGGAAGCATTGTGTTACCAGTGTGTGTGTAGGTGTGTGTGTCTATGGGTGTTGGGTCAATGATCAGCCTAACTAGCTGCCGAAGGAAGTTAATGATTCGAAATTTCAATTCCTTCGTGTGATTAATGTACTGCCCAATGCAATCAATCGATTGACTCAAAAATCGATTACAAAGAATAAGGAAATACAGCGAATGTTAAACAATATGGAATATCATTGAATATGACATTTCTACACGTGATTGTGGCAATCAATTGGAAAATGAATGAGAAGAGGTGGTATGGGGGGGGGGGAAGAGTATGGGGGGATTTCCTTCCAACATTGGCTGACACACATGGGGAGGAGAGACGAATAGGATTGACAACTTAAGACGGAGAAAACGAGATAATTTACGTGGATATTCAAGTGGAAAAAGAGAAAAAAAGAAGATTTTCCTTCTCCTTTCTCTTCATCATCATCTCTACTGAACTATCTTTATTGGCTGACGTTTTGATTTGAACGATGCCAAGATCACGCTCTTTAGTTGTCCTCGTCATCGTCGTCGCTTCATGTCCGTGATCGTGGCCGTCGGCGTCATGACCATCTTCTCATTGGTTTGCATCGTCTTCCCTTCTCTTCTTCCGATTTCATTGATTATTACAGCAATTTTCTATCTTTTCTTCTTCCTTTCCCAAACAATCTCTTATCATCCATCTACAAATGAAATGATTGTATATGATGCTATGAGATAATCTTTCAGCACAGCACACATATATGCAGACATAGGCTGTGAAGAAGAATGTTTCAGCTTCATCGAAATGACAAATATCACTTCATACAGCAGACGTGAACAAAAACAATATTCAACAGAATGTAGAACAGTACAAACAACTTCATTACGATTCATCAGGCTTAGGATGCGCTCTAATGATAATTTGATAGGATTACTGTACGCTTCCGTCAAATAGAGGAATCTCAATTTGTCCTTCTTTCATTCCTCCATTAATTTCTTGTTCTTGTTCTTTCGTTTCTACAATTGTCATGTATCGAGTGCCTTCATTTTTTTGGAATTCAAAACAAGTAGATGAAAGACTTCCGCCAACACACGTTAACGTTCTGAAGTTGCTGACAGCTCCCTGCAGACCACAACAGGTCAGCATTGTCACGTCATTTATATCAACATGAGCGGCATTATCTGCAGCCTTACCGGATGTTGTTAGATGGTTAAACATCTGTTTCAAACGCTTCGGGGAAAAAAACAACAAAGTGCTGCAATCATCAAATTCATAGCGAATTAAATACAACCGTTCTGCACGCTTTGCAAATGAAAAATAAGTTTCACGTGAAAATGACGTGAATGAGGAACAGTATGAATGACGTTTATCTCAAGGTGTTTATCAGTAGCTTCACGATGGTGTGTGTTGAAAGTTAATGAGAGAGAGAGACTAATTCATTTGAGTTTCGCATAAGATTCTATGGAAGACGTGTGTTCCTTATCAACTCAGAGAGACAGCAAGCGAGTTCTGCGATTATATTTAGGAACACAGAATGTTTCTTGTTGGATAAAACGTTTTTGTTGCGAATGTCAAGTCACATTAGAATTGAAAAGTTTTTTTTGGCAATTACTATTGAGCCAAGGGTTTCCTGACCATAATTGGTGAAGGCTAGAAGAGGAAATGGAAGTAAGGAAATTGAAACTGAAGATTCATTATGATTTAAGTAAAGTTGAACCCCGGCTATTCCTTCGTGCCTTTCTTCATTACAATATCGTCATCGTTAGCTTCTTCATGTGAATATTTTCATTTTCAGAGAAAATTATAAGTTATTTGGGAAAAAAGAAATATTAGGGCTTGTCTTGTTTACAAATAAGGCTAAATGCTTCATAATGGGAGTCAAGTGAATTGATAAATTGCCGTATATGGAATGGAATAAAATAATTTTTTTTTGACGACGGAATGTCATCGCTGCTAGGTTTTGAACGAATACATTCTATTTTCAATAAATTTTTTGCCATTTCAGAATAATATCTGAGCCAGACGACACACATCCGACGCACATAGACATCCTCAACTTACAACCTCATTGACAAACGAAGCATCTGTGGGTTTTTGTGTTTTTCTTTTCTACTGTGTGTTTGGACTGTCTTTATTAGGATTTGCTTGATTAGCATATAGTTAGGTTGACATTCTGCTCTACCCAATTAGATGTATTTTGGACTTTTTATGCTCAATAGATCTCTGTTGTTCTTCTTCTCTCCTCATCCTCCTTTCTCTCCTCCTAATTGGAAAACCAAAAACATGGACAGTCAACTGACAGTTTCTAATGAGCACACAGGTCTTCGTTATTGGATTTTCTATTTTTCATCATCAAGCCAATTAGTATTGGTGACCAGAAGTCTCATCATCATGCTTACGCGTTCCTCCTCATCGCACTCTCTCACTCTTTCGCTCTCTTTATCATCAATGAACAACTTTAGTTAATTGCCAGCAGATGTCTTTCTTTATGAGATCTCGTTCATTTCATGATCATCTCGAGATAACTCGGAATCAGTTAAACCTCAATCTAAATATGGAAAATTTGTATTCAAAATCTGTCAGTTTCCATTTCCTCCCGTCTATCCCATAGCTTCAGCCCTTGCCAACATAATTGCTGAGAATGGAATTTATTGTTTTTTTTTCGTTAATTTATGTTCTTCTATGAAAGGTATATTTGGCATTCTCCTCATTCTCACTCCCCCCCTCTCATTCTATTCAATTATGGAGGTTTTCATCTTGATTCTTTCCGTTCAGTGCCAATGGCTGTGCTGGCCGTTTTCATTGGAAGGAACGGCTCCTATGCCTTCTATCCATAATCTAGATTAGAGAACATTGCCTTTTTTGGGAAGACAATTGAACGATGCTGTCATTAATTTACCTCTGTAAATCACCTTCCTCTCTTCAAACGGCTTTCCTATTAATTTCCTCTTTAGCCACCTGAGGCACACCGAACAATTCTCTTTTTTTCTATTTTTTCCATAACGAGCGATGACGTGCTGGGTGGTAGCGGAGCAAATCATCCTCAGAACTGTCTTCAGTTTTGCTGACCTCCAATTCTCATTAATTTTCCGTGTCATCTACTAGTTTTTCAAATCCTATAGTATCAGTTTCAACTCAGAAAGTAGGTCTTAAAGTTTTTGTTTCATTCAATAGACCTTATTATCGTTTTTCACTCACTTCTCCTTCTTTTTCGCTTTTCAGCACTCAATTGAATTAGTAGGACAAATGGTATTCTATATTTTATAATCTTCTTTTGTCTTTATGTTATTCTTGGAGTTGCAAGCAACAGTGCAAACGTTGACTTTGTAACTGCTGACCAGCTATCTGTCAAAATCAACACGCGTAGCGCATACGGCGAAAGTTACATACAGCTATCTAACCGTCTCAGGTATGCTATGCCGTGATGATTAGCAACTTTACGCCGTTTACCCAACTGAATGGAAGTGACGACATTGCAAATGACTGAGCATGCTTTATAACATTTTGGTTATACCTTTAAAAGGATTTATTAAGTGAATAAAAATGGAAATGTCTTGTTGTTGAAAGACATCGAAGACTATAGGATGAGAGAGTGAGAGAGAGAGAAAAGGAGATAATAGATGGTTGTTGAAGAAGTTCTTTGAAATGAAAAGTATATGGCTGATGAGTTGACGTTAGAGATGAATACTTATCTCATTTATAATTCATTAGATTTATTCAGTTGTTGTTATTCAAATGACATCTATCTCAGAGATTTTCTTTTTATATTCTTTTTCTATTCATCTTATAATCTTCTTTTGAAACAACAAATCATACGAAAGTATGAATGAATAGGACTCCGACGGATGACAGCTATGATTTTCATCAAGTTCACCATCACGACA